AGAAAACTGAACAAAACAGTCATTTCCCCACTTCAGGCATCAGAGTTATTATTAAAATACAAAGATCCTTTATTCCATTTAGAAAGTTCTTTGTAGACAAATGAGAAACACCAAAGTTTAAAAACTGAAATCATCTTCATACCGAAAAGAGTTACAAAGAAAATTTAAAAGTAAAGAAATAAGCAGATATACTCAGTTTGAAAAAAGAGGAAGAGGAAAGAAAAAGGACAAAAAGAAAGCAGAAGAATTTATAATGGAATTCCAGGTCAAAAGTTATGAAATGAGATTAAAAGAGACACTGAGTAGTGATAATCTCTGAAAAATGTAACATCCATAAATTTTTGGTTTGGTTTTGTTAATCCTTACCCAAGGATATCTTTTCCACTGATGTTTAAAGATAGTGGAAAGGAGTGAGGGCAGGGGAGAGAGAGGAGAGAGAGGAGAGAGAGGGAGACAGGGAAAGACAGACAGGCACATCAATTGGTTTCCTCCCACAGGTACCCTGAACAGGGCCAGGGATCAAACCTGCAACCCAGGTACATGCCCTAGACAGAATCTAACCCATGCGATGGCCGACCAGCCACACCAGCCAGGGCCATAAACCTTTACATTAGCAATATAGCAATAAAATACATGAAGCAAAAATTCCTAGAGATACTAGCAGAGCTTAATAAAAACAAAAATATACCTGAAGACACAACATACCTCTTTGAGCACTCAAGTAGATATAAAAAATACAGAGGATCTGAATAATAAAACCAAGTCTCATATATATATATATATATATATATATATATATATATATATAGGCAAGTCACTCAAATATGTTTCTTTTTTTTTAAAATATATATTTTATTGATTTTTTACAGAGGGGAAGGGAGAGGGATAGAGAGTTAGAAACATCGATGAGAGAGAAACATCAATCAGCTGCCTCCTGCACACCTCCCACTGAGGACGTGCCTGCAACCAAGGCACATGCCCTTGGCCGGAATCGAACCTGGGACCTTTCAGTCCGCAGGCCAACGCTCCATCCACTGAGCCAAACCGGCCAGGGCTTCTTTTTTTTTTAATTCTCACCCGAGGATATTTTTTTTACCACTGATTTTTAGAGAGAATGGAAGGGAGGGGGAGCGACAGAGAGAGGGAAACATCGATTTGAGAGAGACACATCAATTGGTTGCCTCCTGCATGCACTTGGACCAAAAGCAGGGCCAGGGATAGAGCCTCAACCAAGGTACATGCCCTGGACCAGAACCCATGACCCTTCTGTCCTTGGGCCAATGCTCTAACCACTGAGTTGAACCGGCTAGGGCCAATCTTCATTTCTTATAAAATGATAAAAAAAAAATGATGATAAATAATAATACTAGGCAATATGGCAGCTCAAATATTAGCAGAACAGTGACCTTTTAAAAAAAAAAAAGATTTTTAAAACTGAGGGGGATGCCCTAACCGGTTTGGCTCAGTGGACAGAGCGTCGGCCTGTGGACTGAAAGGTCCCAGGTTCAATTCCAGTCAAGGGCATGTACTTTGGTTGGGGCACATCCCCAGTAGGGAGTGTGCAGGAGGCAGCTGATCGATGTTTCTCTCTCATCGATGTTTCTAACTCTCTATCCCTCTCCCTTCCTCTCTGTAAGAAATCAATAAAATATATTTAAAAAAATAAAAATAAAAAATAAAACTGAGGGGGAGAAAGAGTGAGAGACAGAGAAACATCTGTTGGTTGCCTTCCATACGTGCCCCAACCAGAGATGGGACCCGCAACACAGATATGTGCTCTGATCGAGTATGGCAACGGCAATTTTTTGGTGCACCCGACAACGTTCAACCTACTGAGCCACTCAGGTCAGGCCAGCCTGCATTTTTGTTTTTTCTTTTCAATTAGCAATAACCGCACCTTGGATAAACCTCATTGGCTATGGATACTGCCATTTCTTAAAGGCGAGTCTCTTCTTTCAGTCAAAAACAATCAAACAAATTAAGGCCCTGGCCAGATAGTTCAGTTGGTTAGAGCATCATCCCAAAACGCCAAGGTTGTGTGGATCTGATCCCGGGTCAGGGCACATACAAGAAGCAACCAATGAATGCATAAATAAGAACAATAAATTGATGCTTCTCTCTCTTTCTCTTCCTTTCTCTCTCTCTACAATAAATTTAAAACAAAACAAAAAACTTTAAGTTGAATAATAAAAGGTCATAATAGTGAGGAATTTTTTAAAGTATATTCTTCATTCTCTGTGATCTAAGCAGCTCTCCAACCAGTGTTATGAATGTAATTATTCATCTCTTCTGTGATAAAGTAAAAAGGACTTTAAAAGGAAAATAAATATTTAAAAACAAAGTTTTAGGGACTTCTAGGCATTATTAAGATTAAATAACTTTTTTTCCAGAAGGTGCAATAAATTCTACAGTGGTTACTTTTTCGAAATAGTAAAAAATAGCCTTGAAAAATCACTTATATAGTAACACTTTAGACTTTGGAAGCTCAAAAGTTAATGTCTTAGGCTATTTTTGCATTTAGGCTATAGACACCCTGCTGAGTCATTATGGAAGATATAAGCTAATGCAGTTGGGTGGATGGGGGCAGGAAAGACAATAAGGAAAAAGATTTATTGCCCCGACCTCAATACAGTACAATTCCAGTATATGGTAGGATCCCACTGTGTCTAACTGATTTAATCCCTAAATAAAATATTATAATTTGGCCCTAGCCAGTTTGGCTCAGTGGATAGAGCATCGACCTGTGGACTGAAGGGTCCCGTGTTCGATTCCGGCCAAGGGCATATACCGGGGTTGCGGGTTCTATCCCCAGTAGGGAACTTGCAGGAGGCAGCCAATCAATGATTCTCTCTCATCATTGATGTTTCTATCTCTCTCTCCCTCTCCCTTCCTCTCTGAAATCAATAAATAAATATATTTAAAATATATATATATATACACATATATATTACAATTCGGAGTGTTTAGTAGCTGAAGATCTGCTTCAATTTTAATATCCACTCTTGAGGGAAAAAATACAAGTATTCAATAATTATTGTTAGGTGTAAGTACAATAATGGAAAGCCCAGTGGTTTATAAATTTTATGAAATGTAAATCTCAAAAGTTGCCATCGTCGTCTTCTTTTTTTTCCTTTTTTTTTTTCATCGTCTTCTTAATTTTATAGGCAACGGGATACAATTTGGGAACAGTGAATAAATTTACATGTGTTTTACTATACAAATCAGTCTATGTGACACTTGCTCCAGCACTTTTTCATCATCCATGTGTACTAAAAATAACAATTCTGGATTCCATTCTACAAACATCTGTAAGACTTCTGCTCTTATAAATCCTTGTGGAAAAGGGAGTTGAAAACAAAAAGTTTGTAATGTAGTTGGAGCCACAATACCCACACATGAAAAGAACACTCATAAAACAACACATGAAAATCTGGAGGTTGACTTAGTGTAAGGGAAGGATCTATTGTTTCTTATTATTGCACACCTCCCATTGAAGGTGCTCAACAAGATTCTACCATCTTAGGAGATGAGTTTTAAACTAAGAATAAGAAAACAGGTACTTTTTTTTCTTTAATATTCATTCATTCACATTCCTTCTCCAGATATCTCTCCCTCTTTTTCCTCTTTGTAGAGGTAGGATGCCCAGAAGAGGAAGAAACACTGAAAGTGTAACGTTACTCTGAATTGACCAGGAAAACTGAGAGCTGGCTGAGAAAGCGAAAACTGAGATGCGTTAGTGATGAACCCAAGAAGGTGCTTAGCCACTTACCCAGAGATTTATTTAATGAGAATGGATCGCAGGTTTCCTCAGGTCGTTCCACTGCCAGTAAGAAGATAGTCGTGAACCTTGGGTCCCTTTTTTCACTAGTCAACAGTCACCCTCACCTACACGCGGAGTACATATTTGGCACTCAGCAAATCTTGATTGAATGAAAACCTAACCAAACTCATATTGGTACCCAACCCCGGAGTTATGAACCCCAAATTATCTCCAAAACCCCTTAGGACTTTACCCAAAGAACTGAGAAAGTAGAGACGAAAGCTCTGGGATCTTTGTAAAGACTGGGAACAATCAAGGCCCAATGTAGCCTACACCAACCCGACTTCCCAGAGAAAGCTCAGGGGACTGAACTGTGGCTGGTCAGCTTCAGCTTCCCAAGGAGGCCCCCGACGAGCCGCAGATCCATAGCCTCCCACCCGGGGGCGCTGAGAGATCTGGGGGTATCCCCTCCAAAGTTAGTACCTGCAAAGCTGCGACACAAAGAGTGGCTCGGGGCTCTCATTACGGAGGCAGGGGCCCGGGGCCGGCCAGCTGCGCCTCCCGGCCGAGGGTTCTGCGCTCCGGAGCAGCACTGACAGCCCGGGTCGCAGACAGTTCACCCCTCAGGAGGCTCGTGGATCGAACACCCCCAGTATTCGCTCTCAAGACTGAGCGAGTCGTCGCACACACGTCGACCGGAGCTGCTTGACTCTCCTCACAACTCAAGCGATCACTCCTGCTTTAAGCCCTTCGGCCGGCCGCTTCCCGGCGCCGCCATCGTTAGTGTTTGTTTTCATCTGCTTCGGTGAACGCGGGGGGAGGAAGAGGGCTACGAGGAAAATACAGCTGTCTAACTTCGGCCGCACTTTCGCTACACACGAACACCCTATTGAATCTCTTTCCTCTTCGAAATTCCCACGAAAATTTATTTCCTTTCCATATGCCTTTATGGACAATATTTCCCAGCGTCTCAGAAGAAAATAAAAACGTCAAGAACGGGGACTTTGAAAGAGCTAGAACATTTAGGCCGCGTGAGGAATGTGCAGGGCCGAATCGCAAGTCACTGCGGCAGGGACCAGCGAGGACGCGGCGTGGGGCGAACGCTGACGCAGAGGGGGCGGTGCCTATGCTGAGCAGCGTGGCGGATCGTGCGCGACTGCCGGTTCCGGAGGAGGGCGGGAGCAGGTTGGGTGGGAGGGGAGTGTGGCTGGTGTCCTGGCAGCCTCCGAGAGGTGGGTGGCAGACTTTTAGCTGACTTTGAGTGGCCGACGCACTCCGATTTACGGGATATTCCGTATTTAAGGCGCCTCTTCAAAGCGACGCAGTCGACTCCCAACCCCTAGCTCTCTCGGCGTCTTCTTCTGCATCTTCTTTCTAACTTGTTGGGGCCTCTCTACTTCCTAGCCCCTCAGCCTCGCGATTGTTAGAGCACACGACCCACCTCCATCAGCCCGGGTCGTGAGTGGTTTTCCTCCCCGCCTTCTCCCTTGTTAGACTGGTTTGAGCACCACCATCACCCTCTTCTGTCCCGTGCTTCTCAGGGGGAGCCAGAGAGCTTTGGGAAAGAAACCCGCCCTGACTAATCCCTTGCCCTTACGTCAGCTCCATCGTGGCCTGAATAGTTAGGAGCAGACCTCTTTTACCTCGTGGATAATGATGCCATCACCTCCATTAATCTCTTGCTCTTCTCAGTTCAAATGCCAGGGAGAAAATAAGCCGCCAAGGTACAACTCCCATTATCCCTGAAATCAAAACAGAGACTGCCATGCAGCCGTGAGTTAGTGGAGAAAACCCCAGAGTTACAAGTATAGCGCCTTTTGCTGGAACAACATAGACATTTGAGAAAAGGAGTTATTGTAACTTTAGACTCACTTTAAAGTCTTTGGTAGGTTTCTAATGTGTGTGGTGTTTTGTTTTCTTTTTCTTTTAACCTTTACAGAGAGAAGACTATAAATGCCAGAGCCATTTAACGGATGGTTACCTGTTGACACTTCTTTAAATACCTTCTTGCACCAAGGTCTTCACTGGGAAGAATTCGGGGGAAAATAGCCGTGGAAAAGAGAGTCAGCACTTACATGTACCATGGCTATACCTATAACAGTGCTTGATTGCGACCTCTTACTGTATGGCCGAGGCCACCGGACATTGGACCGTTTTAAGTTGGATGATGTGACTGATGACTACTTGATGTCCATGTATGGGTTTCCTCGGCAGTTCATTTATTACTTGGTGGAGCTCTTGGGAGCGAGTCTTTCTAGACCTACTCAGAGATCCAGGGCTATTAGCCCAGAGACACAGATCCTTGCAGCACTGGGCTTCTATACTTCAGGTTCCTTCCAGACTCGGATGGGAGATGCTATAGGAATCAGTCAGGCATCTATGAGTCGATGTGTTGCCAATGTCACCGAAGCGCTTGTGGAAAGAGCCTCGCAGTTCATTCGCTTTCCCGCTGACGAAGCCTCCATTCAGGCTCTGAAGGATGAATTCTATGGGTTGGCTGGGATGCCAGGGGTCATAGGCGTGGTTGACTGTATCCATGTGGCAATCAAGGCACCAAATGCTGAAGACCTCTCCTACGTGAATCGCAAAGGTCTGCATTCTTTAAACTGCCTGATGGTGTGTGACCTCAGAGGGGCGCTAATGACGGTGGAAACAAACTGGCCAGGCAGCCTGCAGGACTGTGCTGTGCTGCAGCAGTCTTCTCTCAGTAGTGAGTTTGAAGCTGGAATGCACAAAGATAGCTGGCTGCTTGGTAAGTTTGCAAGTGGACATGCCTAATATTGTAGCCGTAGGATTATGTAGCAGAGTAAATGAAATATGGGAGTCTATAGATTTGAGTCTCTGTTCTGTCCTTTTTTGGAGACCTCAGCTAAAAACTCTTTGAGCCTAAAAACCCTTTGAGCCTTCATTTTTTAAAAATCATCTTTTAGCCCTGGCCAGTATGGCTCTGTCGGTAGGAGCGTTGTCCAGTACACGGAAAAGTCCTAGGTTCGTTTCCTGGTCAGGGTATACAAGGTAAGTTCCAGAGGCAATCGATTGATGTTTCTTTCTCTCTCTCTCTCCCTCTCTCTCTCTCTCTCTCTCTGTCTGTCTTCCCCTCTCTATTAATGAAAATATCCTCGCCCTAACTGGTTTGGCTCAGTGAATAGGGTGTCGGCCTGTGGACTGAAAGGTCCCAGGTTCAATTCCGGTCAAGGGCATATACCTTGGTTGTGGGCACATCCCCAGTGGGAGATGTGCAGGAGGCAGCTGATCGATGTTTCTAACTCTCTATCCCTCTCCATTCCTCTCTGTAAAAAAATCAATAAAATATATATTAAAAAAAAAAAAAACATGGCTGATGCAAATGACACTTCACTTCATTTAAAAAAAAAAAAAAGAAAGAAAGAAAAAATATCCTCCTGTGAGGATTTTTTTTAAAAAACAAAATTTAAAAGGCATGTATTAAAGTTTTAAAAGCATAGTATTTGACCCAGATCATCTTCCACTTCTGTGGGTTTACATGGTCGTATGTGTTCATAAACATGGACATGGATGGTGTAAAATAGAATGACATATAAGAACTTGCCTTGCAATAAGGTTTTTTAAAAATATATTTTTTATTGATTTTTTTACGGAGAGGAGAAGGATAGAGAGTTAGAAACATCAATGCCTCCTGCAGGCTCCCTACTGAGGATGTGCCCACAACCAAGGTACATGCCCTTGACCGGAATCGAACCTGGGACCCTTCAATCCATAGGCCGATGCTTTATCCACTGAGCCAAACTGGTTCGGGCACAATAGGGCTTTGTAGTTGCAAACAACAAGCCTATAAAAACAGTCCCTTAAATGCAGCCAAAATACTTATCACTATAGATTTGTTTAATAGCCATACAATTGAGCCTTAGTTTTTATTATCTGTAACACGGTGAAAATAATGCCAACAACAGTAATGCCTATTGTTAGAATTAGGCAATATATATGAAAGTTCACCATAAAGTATTGTACAAATATATTATTTTTGCCATTGGTGATTGTCACTGTATGAAAATTCTAGTGGACAGTACACTTACATAGTTGTTATAGGAACTTCACAGATCTGCTCAGGTGTCATTGGAAAGCCTTGCATAATGATATGAGTAGAACAGGGACGCATTCAATACTGAGCAGTGCAAACTGAAGTGACTGTACAGCTGTGAGTGATACTGTTAGTTAACAGTGATAAAAGCCTTGAGCCTGGCAGCTTAGTGGTTGGTTAGTTTTTATTTTATTTTTCTAGTATTTTTATTGATTTTTAGAGAGGAAGGGAGAGGGAGAGAGAAACAGGATCCAAGAGCGAAACATCATCGGCTACCTCTTGTATGCCCCACCAGGGATCCTAGCCTGCAACGAGGCCATGCATCGTGACCAGGAATCGAACCGGTAACCCTTAGGTGCACAGAATGACACCCTACCAACTTTGCCATACTGAGCAGAGTGGCTGATTGGTTTTAAAGTACTACTCTGTCTCTAGCCAGTTTGGGTCAGTGGATAGAGCATCGGCCCACGGACTGAAGGGTCCTGGGTTCAATTCCAGTCAAGGGCACGTACCTTGGTTTCAGGTTACCGGGCTCTGATTGAGGTGCGTGCAGGAGGCAACCAATCGATACATCTCTCTCACATCAGTGTTTCTCTCTCTTCCTCTCCCTTCCACTCTCTCTAACAATCAATGGAAAAATATCCTCAGGTGAGGATTAACAACAACAAAATAGTACTACTCTGATGTGAGCAACAAGACAAGGATTATCTTAATGCGACATATTATGTGAGAGATGATAAGATATATTAGGATTGGAAAACCTCTCTTTCAAAACCATCAATCATATCTGCACTGTACATGTTTATAACAGTGATTAGCATGTAATAAACAGCACTTATTTCTCTTTAATGTACAGTGCTGATAATGTGATTACTGGTTCATAAAAGAGAAACCTCTCATGTTCCAAGTGTGAAGAGACTGTCACACTGATTGGTTTAGAGCTTCCAGGGTGCCATGTGTAACATCTTGGAAATTCCATGATTTTTCTTGAGTTGTTGATTCCGCATACCATTTGCCATGAGTGTACAACCTCCTCTTTATTGGACCTTTATCTTAATCCCCGTGTGCCAACTTTTAACTTTCAAATTTTATACAACTCACACCAAGAAGTGAAGGAAAGTCTGTATTGCAAGTGTCTCATTTAGCTACTTCGTCCATAGTTATGGGAGTTCTTGGGTCCTAAGCTTATTCTTATTAATTCACTTTGGTATCCTAATTATAAAGCCAGCTAAAATTTACTGAGCATTTAGAATTTGTCAGGCAATTTTGTAAGCACTTTGAATTTGATTAGCTTACTTAATCCTTATAACAACTCATAAGGAGTTAAATTCTAATATTAACATTTTCACAGATGAGGAAATTAAGGCACAGATGATTTAAGTCACTGTGTGTAAGTTTTCAAACTGGATTATATGAGGAGTTAGTCTATTTGGCAAATATTCCTTTTCTTAAGGGCTTCAAGGTTATATAGGGATTATTGATTTTCTTTCCCTTCACACCTTGGTACCCCAGATTGATTTGGAATTATGGCTTCATAGTAGTTTTTCGAGACGTTTACAGGAAAGTTGAAAATAAGTAAAAACTCTGACAAATTTTTATATACTTGTCCGATTCCCCTCTTAATAGGAAGAGTGGAAGTGGGAGAGATGGATACTGCAATAGCATTTAACAAATGAAGACCAGTTTTGGTACCAAGCCACATGCTAGGCACTAAGGATGGGGAAAACAGATCCATATGGAAATTTATTCCCTTAGTACTTACTATACACATACCCTTTGGAAAGCCTCCATGAGCTCTAACAGGAAAACTAGTTTGAAGACTCTTGAACTAGTATAGTGTTTCTCAAATTTTCCAGATCGAAAGAGTCATCTCGGAATTTATTGAAAATGTATATCACTGAGCTCCACTTTAAATTTTGGAAATAAGAATCTTCAAGGCCCTAGCCAGTTTTCTCAGTGGCTAGAGCAGCGGTTCTCAACCTGGGGGTCGAACGACCCTTTCACAGGGGTCGCCTAAGACCATCGGAAAACACATATATAATTACATATTGTTTTTGTGAATAATCACTATGCTTTAATTATGTTCAATTTGTAACAATGAAATTGGGGGTCACCACAACATGAGGAACTGTATTAAAGGGTTGCGGCATTAGGACGGTTGAGAACCACTGGGCTAGAGCATCAGCCTACAGACTGAAGAGTCATGGGTTTGATTCTGGTCAAGGGCACATACCTCAGTTGCAGGCTGGATCCCTGGCCTGGTGAGGATGTGAAGAGGTGTCATAAGCCAGGTACAACAATAAAAATCTTCAAGGAAAGAATCTAGACATCCTTTCTTTTTTAATCCTCACTGAGGATATTCTTTTTCCCTTGCTTTTCAGAGAGAGTAAAAGGGAGGAAGGAAGGAGGAGAAAAAGAGAGAAACATCGATGTGAGAGAGACACATCGGCTGGTTGCCTCCCACATGCACCCAGACCAAAGGGATGGAACCTGCGACCTTTTGGTGTTTGGCTGACAATCTAACCATTGAGCACACCGGCCTAGGACTAGACATCCATTTTTAACAGGTGCCCTAAATGGTTTATACCAGTGGTCGGCAAACTCATTAGTCAACAGAGCCAAATATCAACAGTACAACGATTGAAATTTCTTTTGAGAGCCAAATTTTTTAAACTTAAACTATATAGGTAGGTACATTGTTATTAACTTAAGTAGGGTACTCCTAAGGCTTAGGAAGAGCCACACTCAAGGGGCCAAAGAGCCGCATGTGGCTCGTGAGCCGCAGTTTGCCAACCATGGGTTATACAAACAGATAGGTTTGGAAAACACTGGCATCTAGAGCAGCCGTGGGCAAACTACGGCCCGCGGGCCGGATCCGGCCCGTTTGAAATGAATAAAACTAAAAAAAAAAAAGACCGTACCCTTTTATGTAATGATGTTTACTTTGAATTTATATTAGTTCACACAAACACTCCATCCGTGCTTTTGTTCCGGCCCTCCGGTCCAGTTTAAGAACCCATTATGGCCCTCGAGTCAAAAAGTTTGCCCACCCCTGATCTAGAGGATATGTGGACAGTAGAGTAATATAGGGGTAGTTTGGCAAGATTATGAGGAATGACAAGGTGTTAAAAAAAAAAGAGAGCGAGAAGATGGCTGGCTGATTGTATCTTAACAACATCAGATTTGTAAAATAGCTCTAGATTTGCCAAATCTAGAATAAGCTGTGATTCTCCTTTGTTTTCTGGGGTGTTATTTTTTAGCATATTTTAAGTGTAGGTGTTATCCCTTCGTGTCCTCATTCTCATCTGTCCCTTCAGAGTGTATTACTTAACTCCCCTTTTCTACATGAATGTGTTCCTGCAAACAAGTCAGCCTGAGTTCTTATTTCTTCAGCTTTGGTGTTAAGCAGCTTTGGTAAAATATGCCCGAATGTCTTGTAAATGACTGATCAGGTAAGCAATTGTAATCTGTTTAGCACAGGGGTGGGCAAACTTTTTGACTCGCGGGCCACAATGGGTTCTTAAACTGGACTCAGAAGAAGGAGCTGCGGCCATGTTTCCCGACGTTGCCATGTTAACACGGCTGCTGGTGAAGGAGCGGAGGGGAGAGCAAGAGAACCCTCTGCTCTTTCGACTCCGCGGGCCGGATAGAACAGACAGCTGGTTTAGCAACTCTGATCCCAATCCCCTCCTGAGTGTCTATCTTCCATTGGTACTGGGATTATAATCAGTTAATGACCATCAAGCATTTTATAAAAAGTCTTTGTTAACTAGTTTGTGCTGAAGGTCTCCCCATGTAAGGCTCATATTGTTTCTTACAGAAACATTTTTCAAATATCACTTAGTATCTCTGTGCTTTAGCATTCATCTTAAATGTTTATCTCATTCTCTTCCACAGCATTACACTATTGTTTTAGTGACTCTGAGTCTGACAATAGCATTAGTGACTAGCTTCTTCCCCTTCTTTTGCCTGACATATCAAAGGATAGCTGACATATATTTTGATCTTTTCATTTGTAAAATGAGTTCAGTAATATCTAACCTAGAAGACTTGGGATTGGATAACAAGAGATAATATTTTCAAAATTGCCCAGCAGAGTGCCTATGACTCATTGAGTACATAATAGGTATTCAGTGAATCATAGGTATTATTTCATTATTATTTACATCACTAGAGGCCTGGTGCATGAAATTTGTGCACGGGTAGGATCCCTAGGCCTGGCTGGTGATCAGGACCCATCTGTGGGGCAACCGGCGGGGCGATTGGAGGGCCCCCACTGGCACCTGCCTTGGCTGACCTGGCACCACCCACTGCTGGCCCCACCCCCGCCATCACTGGTCAGGGGCTGGGGGCAACTCCTGCGTTGAGCATCTGCCCCCTGGTGGTCAGTGCACGTCATAGTGACCAGTCATTCTGCTATTCGGTCAATTTGCATATTACCCTTTTATTATATAGGATAACATTTTTTTCATTACAAAAATATTTTGTTTTAAAAAAATATTTGATTAATGACAGAGAGAGAGAGGGAGAGAGGAACATCAATTTATTGTTCTTATTCATGTGTTCATTGGTTGATTCTTGTACATGCCCTGACCATGGAACCTGCAACCTTGGGGTATCGGGATGATGCTCTAACCAACTGAGCTACCTGGCCAGGGCACAAAAAGTATTTTTAAAAGCAAAGTTAATCTAGTTCTTAGAAATGTAAGCTCCTAAAAGAAAGGTATACTATATATTTTGGAACAGTGCCTAGTACTCTCTATAACTATTTACTGAAATTAATGGTGAGTCAGGAACAGCAATTATGCAAGTTGGTACACCTAGGGCCTGTTTGTCTCAGATTTATAAGTGGTTGTGCTTCTGTGAGACATTTCATCTGCCAGATGTAATGAGTCAGGACAATTAAACACTATAGAAACATTGTACTGTTGTGTTAGGACATTGCATCCCAGTTTTTGTTTTATTTTTAGCACTTCCCAAGATCATTTGATAGGTTACCTAAGGGAAATGCTTCCTGTACATTATTTTAATTGACTTCTGGTTTTATTTCTTCATCACTGTTATTATTTGCATCATTATATTTATGCTCTACTTGTTAATGTGAAGTTCTACGAGTTCCTCTGTTACAAGGAAATGTAGGAAGACAGGACATCTAAGTTCTGGTCTCTACCACAGATGCTGGGACTTTTATTCTTAGCAGGATGAATTATTATGAAATATTCTGAAATCCCTAGGTAGTACATTCAGACCTGACATTTTAATGGTAAAATTTAGAAATTTTTTTGAGATCAAGTGCTTTGAGATCTTGTGGCAGAATTCTCTTTATCTCTCTTGCATGTTAGCTCTTTAGAGATTTTGAAGATTGGTTTGCTATGTGATAGTTTTTACTAACTTTTTTTAAAATTTTGTTTTATTGCTTAAAGTATTACAAAGAGTATTACATATGTCTCCTCCCCCCCCCCCCCCCCGCTTGACTTTCCCCGGCCTCCCCTACCCCCCAGTGTCTTGTGTCCATTGGTTATGCTTATAAGCATGCATACAAGTCCTTCGGTTGATCGCTTACCCCCCACCACCAACCCTCCCCGGCCTTCCCGCTGTAGTTTGACAGTCTGTTCGATGCTGCTCTGCCTCTGTATCTATTTTTTTTCATCAATTTATAATGGTCTTTATTATCCATAAATGAGTGAGATCATGTGGTATCTTTCTTTTTTTTTTTTTTAATATGTTTTATTGATTTTTTACAGAGGGGAAGGGAGAGAGATAGAGAGTTAGAAACATCGATGAGAGAGAAACATCGATCAGCTGCCTCCTGCACATCTCCCACTGGGGATATGCCGGCAACCCAGGTATATGCCCTTGACCGGAATCGAACCTGGGACCCTTCAGTCCACAGGCCGACGCTCTATCCACTGAGCCAAACCGGTTTCGGCGTGGTATCTTTCTTTCATTGACTGGCTTATTTCACTTAGCATAATGCTCTCCAGTTTTTACTAACTTTTTATTATCAGGAATTTTATTTGCTCCAGTGCCTTCACCTCCTTCCTACATTTTTTTAGATTTGGCTTTCTTTAGCTATCAGCCTTTTTCTCTGTTGGTTTTAACCAAAGATATTCCCAGCTAAGACTCGTGTCTACCTGCTTGTGACTCTGGCATGCCTTCTCTTTACCAGGGCATTTTCCTCTTGGTTTTTCTGTTCTGCTTTAGGTCCAGAGGCTGTTGTCCATTCTCTGTATATGTTCCTGGATTTTCCTTTTTGTTTGTATTCCAACTATGATCATTTATGATTTCTTTGGGCCTTCCCCACAGGTGACAGTTCCTTCTTTCTCCGTACCTGGCTTATGACACCACTTCACATTCATGAGACTCCAGCTGAATATCGCTATAATATGGCCCATTCTGCAACTCACAGTGTGATTGAGAAGACTTTCCGAACACTCTGCTCCCGATTCCGCTGCCTGGATGGGTCCAAGGGGGCACTACAGTACTCACCAGAGAAGTCCAGCCATATCATCTTAGCGTGTTGTGTCCTCCACAACATCTCCTTGGAGCATGGGATGGATATTTGGTCCTCTCCAATGACAGGACCCATGGAACAACCTCCCGAGGAAGAGTATGAGCACATGGAGTCCCTGGACCTAGAGGCTGACCGGATCCGTCAAGAGCTGATACTCACTCATTTTAGCTAATGTGAAAGGTGGGGAGGGGGAGGGAAACTTTCCAGAAGGAGCTGTGACAAACTTTCTCCCTCACCAGCCACTACACAGTTCCATCATCTAGTATGACTGAGTGTGGACACTTATCACAAACTGACATTTAATCTGCATGTTTTTTAGAAGAGTTGGGGCTATACCAGAATATTTTGATTCATTTGTATTTCTATTAATATTAACTAAACAAAAAATCAGGACAACACTTCCGTAGTATGCATTGAACTCCAGGTTGAGCCTCAGTTATTTGAAAAGCTCACTGGTTGCGGACATTTATGATTGTGCCTACAACATCAAAGCAAAGGAGAAAATGGCATCTAGCCAGAGCACTTGCTTTTTGTTTCCATTATCTGGAGATTTCAAATGAAAATAATATTTATTTGTCCTGAATTATTTGGGTGGCATTTTAGCTTTTCTACTTTGCTGCCTAGATAGGCATAATTTGAGGCAAGTGGCTGGTGTGGCTCAGTGGTTGAGCATCAATCCACAAACCAGGAAGTTACAATTAGTTTCTGGTCAGGTTGTGGGCTCTATTCCCAATAGAGAGTGTGCAGGAGGCAGCCAATCAATGATTCTCTCTCATCATTGATGTTTCTATCTCTCCCACTCCCTCTCTCTCTAAAATCAATAAAAACATTTTTTTAAAGTAATTTTAAGTTTGAGAATGGTCTTGGGACAGGTAAATGTCTGCTAATCTGCGTTTGCAACCTTGTATATTTAAGAAGATGTTAGGAAAGGAGAAAAACAACAAACAGCCCAGCTGGCATGGCTCAGTGGTTGAGCGTTGACCTGTGAACCAGGAGATCACGGTTTGCGATTCTCTCTCATCACTGATGTTTCTATCTCTCCCTCCCTCTTCCTCTCGGAAATCAATAAACATATTTAAAAACAAACAAATCAAAAAAGAAGTTAGGGACAGTCTGAAACCTCTATCTTTAGTCTTCCTGCAATAATTGGCCTGTTACTTGGACCTAGGTCCTAGGGAGAACATCTGGACTCCAATCTCCTTTTTCCAACCCTGAGTAGGAGTTAGAGGCGAAATGGGTTTAAGAACCTAATTAGCTTAAGGAAGACAAGTCAAATATAGGTAAAATAGTAAGCTTACACTTTACAGGAGAACTGAACACCATGATAAATTGATGGACAGCCTAGCCAGTTTGGCTCAGTGGATAGAGCCTTGGCCTGCATACCAAAAGGCCCCAGGTTCGATTTCAGTCAAGGGTATGAACCTTGGTTGCAGGCTCCTCCCCAGCCCTGGCCATGGTCAAAGCTCATGCAGGAGGCAACCAAGGAATGTCTCTCTCTCCCCTCTCCCTAAAAATCAATGAAAAAATATCAGGTGAGGATTAACAAAAAAGGAAACATAAATAAATAAACTGATGGACAGAGGAGAATCACCCAGGTTCACAGATCAATCACATTTCTTATGATTGTGATATTAGAATGTCTGTTTGACCATTCAGCTTTGAAATTCCTTGTACCAAAGGAAGATTTAAGGAAGGCATATGAAAGTATTAAAAAGGAGAGGTAAAAAGAATATAATTTCTTAATTTGAAATTACTAGTAATTTTGAAGTTAGACCTATTTGAATATCATATGTACAAAGTGATGGGCAGAAATTATACTGATATAAAAAAATACTGATTGGAATAATGAAAATGTAAATTAAGTTCACACATTGTGGCTTCACTAGAACAAAAAAGGAGACTTTCCTGAGGATTATCTCATTCCCGGTTTTTCATCCACTCACTGTGTGATGCCTCTGATTTGTCTTCTTGGATAATTTCCTACCTGCCTTTGGCAGTGTTAATCTGGTGATATTCAAAGTAAAGAAATGAACAGCTGATGACAGAGAAATTTGGAAATAAATTGAGGGTGACTCATCCTCAAGATTAAAAACAATTATGGTTTATTATCTGCTGTTTATTCCTACTCCAAATTTTATTTTCCATCATCATCCTACTCTATAAAGAGTAAAAGAGTAGGTTCAAAAAAAAGTAGATGCATTTGGCAGAAGGGTGAGCTTAATATGTACAATGAAGTCTTTGAGATGGGAGTGGACAACAAAGAGGTGACTGTAAACTTCAGCTCTACTTATTGTGCAATAGAGGTGCCCTATTATATTTTTTTCTTTGTAAAGTTTAACCTCTGAACCACGCTTGCTTTGTCTTCTTCATAAGGCAATATTTTAATATTCATAGTCTTTCCAAGTTTCCTGAGATGGACATATTTCCCTATAAAATTTTGGTTCTATTATGGGTATTGCACGAGGAAAGGGTTATTGCCACCCGTGTACCATAAGTGGCAAGGTGGAGTGTGTCTTGGAAAGGGCCTAGCATTTTAGCTTTAAAAAATGACATTAAAGAAAAATGGGAGTTTTCACAACTCACTAGATGGTGACATGGAGTCTGAGTGGGAAAGACAGTTTTGGAGAGATTTCAAAAGCAATTTCAAGTCTGACTTACATACCAAAGATCATTTCTAAGTGCTGAACTGACTGAACATTGGCTGTCAGTGTTTTTCCCTGGGAGCATTTTATTTCCCAATAATTCTACAGAGTAACTGTTCAAATATATTCCTTTAATCTCCTTTCAACCTGGATTTTTACAAGCCAGGATTTTTTTTTTTCAGTTCATAGTTAAATTTCCCTCAAAATGATTTAGGGAAGGGATCAGGGTCTGTACTTCCAGATTGCCAAGAGTTTGCTCAGAGTGGCTTTTTATAAGTGCCTGAGAGGTCTCCTCGAGAGTCCCTTATTGTGGATTTATAGTGTCTTCCTGTTACAATTTTGGGAAAGAGTCCAGGATTTTGCCTCTTACGTAAGCTTCATCTTCCCGTAGGTGACCATATGGCCAGCATAGGAGTTTTCCAAATTTGCCCTTGGATATTTCAAGACAGCAAAGTCCAAAGATATATTAAAGCAAAACTACAATATTGGGTCATCACTGGTTTACCAATTCAAAATTATACAAAAGTCGCCATAACCGGTTTGGCTCAGTGAATAGAGTGTCAGCCTGCAGACTCCAGGGTCCCAGGTTCGATTCCGGTCAAGGGCATGTACCTTGGTTGTGGGCACATCCCCAGTAGGGGGTGTGCAGGAGGCAGCTGATTGATGTTTCTCTCTCATCGATGTTTCTAACTCTCTATCCCTCTCCCTTCCTCTCTGTAAAAAATCAATAAAATATATTAAAAAAAAATTATACAAAAGAGGGACCATAAGCATATGCCTAGTTTAAAATGAACTGAACAGAGCCCTAGCTGGTTTGGCTCAGTGGAGAGCGTCAGCCTGCAGACTGATGGGTCCCAAGTTCTATTCCAGTCAAGGGCACATACCTGACTTGTGGGTTCAATCCCTAGTAGGGGGCGTGCAGGAGGCAGTCAATCAATGATTCTCTCTCATCAGTGATGTTTCTATCTCTCCCTCTCTGAAATCAATAAGAATATATATATATTTTAAATGACTGAACAGAAAACGGGGGAAAAAATTTAAAAAAAAGAAAAGAAAAACCTTAGCAGTGTTGCTCAGTTGTTGGAGCACTGATCCATGCACCAAAGGGTTGTAGGTTCAGTTCCCATTACAGGGCACATACCTGGGTTGCAGGGTCAGGATGATTACTTGCGGGAGGCAACCAATGGATGTGTCTCTCACATCCATGTTTCTCTCTCTCTTCCTCTTCCCTCCCTCTTTGCCACTCTCTCCAAAAATCAATGGAAAGGATATCTTCGCTTGGCCTGCATGGCTCAGTGGTTGAATGATCTATGAACCAGGAGGTCACAGTTTGATTACTGATCAGGGCACATGACTGGGTTGTGGGCTCCAGCCCCAGTGGGGGGCGTGCAGGAGGTGGCAGATCCATGATTTTCTTCATTGATGTTTCTATGTCTCTCTCCCTTCCCCTTCCTCTTTGAAATCAATAAAAAATATATTTTAAAAATATCCTCAGGTGAGGATTAACAATAAAATGAATTGAACAGGAGGGAGCTCCTTTCCTGACCCTTGAATTGTAAGGGTCTCTAGCAAGTTAATCTAATTTGGGGAAAAAAGACAATACAATTTTAATGGGGTCATACAGTGAAAACTTTTAGGAGGTGGGGAGGATAAAATAGATAATAGACATGCTACCATTGTGTGTGTGCGTGTGTGTGTGTTTAACATGCTACCGTTGTAGCCATGCCTGAAGTAAACTGAAAACAACGCAAGGACTGAGCTTAGGAGGAAGACAAGAAAATAAATCAGGAGTCTTAACCATTTTGTATGCACATGTCCTCAGAGCCCAGGGCACATGCTCTCTAGATCCCTTCCAGATCTTATGAAATTGTGGGTATAAGAGATCATGGACTCAGAATTTAGTAAGACTTCATTGATTGTAAATATGGACAGGAAGGAAGAAAGGTAAAATACTAACTAAAGGCTGGGGACACCCTAATTTCTTACCACATACAATTCACTTAACGGGCTTTTTTTCTTTTTTTAATCCTATATAATAAAGAGCACATATGCTGATTAGACCGAACAGCAGAACAACCATCCAAATGACCTTCTGGACGACTGTCTGGACAACCTTCCAGACGAATCCGGGGCTGCGTGGGCCGGCCGAGGCTACGAGGGGCTGTAAGGGCCTGTGAGGGCGAGTCCCTTGCACGAATTTTGTGCATTAGGCCTCTAGTAAGACTATAATCTAAAATCCCCCTTTGTAATAATCAAATATGAGAGATGAGATCTCTGGATACTAAGCCAGGAGCAAAGAAAGTAGACCTTGAGTCCTAGCTGGTTTGGCTCATTGGATAGAGCATCAGCCTGCAGACTGAAGGGTCCTGGGTTCAATTCCAGTCAAGGCACATACCCGGGTTGCTGGCTAGATCCCCAGTTAGGGGGTGTGCAGGAGGCAACTGATCAATGATTCTCTCTCATCATTGATGTTTCTATATCTCTCTCCCTCTCCCTTCCTCTCTGAAATCAATACAAATATATTTTTTAAAAAGAAAGTAAACCTTAAAATCACTGTAAATTTGAAAAAGTCTGTTTGAAAGGAATCTCCTTATTTGCTCAGAAAAACATTAAGCATCTATCATTCTGTTGAGACTTTTATTTCTCTACCCCTTACATATACAGCTGTCTTCATGGAAGGGCTGATTTCTTGTCATTCTTGAGTATTCCTACATTTTAATACATTGATAAATTCCACCACTGGAAATATATCCAATGTAAATAATTCCAAAGAAGGAAGAGCCTCTCTCCTCTTTATCATCCAGTCCAAAGTGTGTACATTATCCCACAGACCTGTGAGACAGGCTACAAAAGAAAGATAAAAAATACAAAAATAAATTAAAAGAATTGCAACTGCAAAACCTACAACTAGCTCAGCATTTTGGCTGCTTGAGGCCTAACTCTTCTTCCTGGACTTCCTCATAAGGGGACTCATGGTACTGCTACATTTATCTCATCCTAGATTCAGGACTAATTTGTTACTCAGAGCCCAAAGCCAAGATAAAGATCAATCCCCTCCCTTTTTCTCCTTTCCACACCCTTCACCTTATCTTACCTTCAATGGGGGTGGCTCCCCTAGGAGAATCCTATCAGAATACAATAATCAACAATGCAGGTAGTGAATTACTGAGTTTTTAAAAAATATATCTTATTGATTTTTTACAGAGAGGAAGGGAGAGGAAGAGAGTTAGAAACATCAATCAGCTGCCTCCTACACACCCTCTACTGGGGATGTGCCCACAACCAAGGTACATGCCCTTGACTGGAATCGAACCTGGGACCTTTCAGTTCGAAGGCCGATGCTCTATCCACTGAGCCAAACTGGTTAGGGATCATCATTGGTATTTCTATCTCTCCCTCTCCCTTCCTCTCTGAAATCAAAAAAATATATTTTAAAAAATAACAACTATTAAAGAGCTTTAATAGGGAAATGATACAATGAAAAACTATTGTATTTCTACTTAAATTAAACTTTAAAAAATTATGTAGGCTATTTCCAAAATTACAAGGAAACATGAACAAATTAAAACTGTGTTTTAGAAGCAGATGATTAAATTCTTTTTTTAAAGATTTTTATAAATGTTGCTATAATGTTTAATCATTTAAAAAAAATATATATTTTATTGATTTCAGAGAGGATGGGAACGGGAGAAAGAGATAGAAACATCAATGATGAGAGAGAATCATTGATCAGCTGCCTCCTGCACGTCCCACACACTGGGAATGGAACCTGAAACCCTGGCAAGTGCCTTCACCTCAGAATACAACCGGGTTCATAGGTCGACCTCAACCACTGAGCTACACCAGCTGGGCTAATGTTTACTCATTTTAAAAGTCCCCTAAAACAGTGGTAGACAACAAAAGCCCAGTGATTTGTCCTCATATTATGGATGCTGGTCTCATCCTGCATTATATGTATGAGTTGTCCCTTAAACATGTTCAGGGACCTAAAGGAGGAGACTTTAAAAATAACAGTAGTCTCGCTTTCCATCAGAGAGCCTGCCCGCCCGCCCGCCCGCCCGCATCTTTCCCTTCCCTCTACTTCTTCCCCCAGGCACGTTATTTTGGCCTTTCTCTCTCCTAAACTTCAAGGGCCTTTCTTTTGCTTCTGTAACTTCTTTCCTGAGCCTTTGCAGCCCAGCTGGCTCACTTCTACAACCTCTGTAACTTTCTAAATAAACGTTGTTATAATTTGAAAAAATAAAACACCAATACATAATAAATAAAGCTAATGTTGTAATGTCTTTCATTTTGATTGGATTATAAACTCTAAGGGCTGCAACTATTTTTTAAAAAATCTTGTCTTCTCTTCTGACCGGTTTGGCTCAGTGGAGAGAGCTTCGGCCTGCGGACTGAAGGGTCCCAGGTTCGATTCCAGTCAAGGGCATGTACCTTGGTTGCAGGCACATCCCCAGTAGTGGGTGTGCATGAGGCAGCTGGGTGTGCAGGAGGCAGCTGATTGATGTTTCTCTCTCATCGATGTTTCTAACTCTATCCCTCTCCCTTCCTCTCTGTAAAAAAATCAATAAAATACATTAAAAAAAAATCTTGTCTTCTCATAATACCTTGATTATCCAAGTCTCCTTCCTCCTTGGAGGATTGGGGGGTGGGATAAACTGTATTATTGCTAATACTTGGTAATCTATATTTATACTGATCTATGTGATTTCTTGAATTGTACCTAGAATATACTTAATCCATATTTATGATAAGCATATTAGTTTGTTTACTAAGAGACCAGAAAGAGGCTATTGTTGTGAGGATGAAAATATCAACACATTTCGTCAGGTTCTGAACCCAAAGACTTTTGATCATTATGTAAGAAGTATACCTGTGGTTCTAGGCTGTTGGAAAAAAATAAAAGAGAAAAGCAGTACGTGTTTTTGTTTGTTTTGTGTTTTTCTGTCTTAAGGACAGACACAACCCTGACTTTTCCCAGCTTCTCTTTGCTATGCTTATGGGAGCTAAACTGAAGCAATAATAGACTTTCATTTTGTTCCTTAGTCTGGATTCTCATTTTCTCTCTGTGCCTCTGTCATATGTGTATGTATACATATTAGATCTATCTATATAGTCTTTCATTCACCTCACTGTCCGGTGAGAAAACTGTCAAATTTGCTCAATTGGGATAGTGTTTTGAGTCCAAAAGGTCGTCGCTGAACTATAGTTAAAACAAGTGTTACTGTGCTATATGACTTGATCTTCAACACTCTCAAGAAAAACTCCGGTTCTCTAACAACTTAGCCAGCAACGGACACAGAAAATGGCAGAAATACAGATTTCGTTACTCCACGGCTTGCGATCGATCTGGGTTTGTTTATTTGTGCCTTGGACAGGAGCCGGACTTTGAACTGGAGCGGAGATGTTTATCGGCGCTCGACTGTCCTGCCTTGTACGATTGCGCGGGCGCTCCTCCTTTGATGTCTGGGACGTTCGTGCAATCGGTGATCTTTTGCGCCGTCTTCTTGCTTGATGTCTCCTGAGCGGCGGTGGTGCCGGGTCGAAGGCTGACTGTTTCGCGCGGCCCTGCGCTCAAGCTGCTTTCTCCTGCTGGTCAGCAGAGCGGACCCTTGCTTCCTTCCTGCCTCTTCTTCCTGCTTGTGGCTCTGTCCACCCGCTGGACTGCAAACCGAGCCCCCGCCCGCCTCGCAGGTAGGCCCGGGAGGAGCCTGGGAGGCCCGGCCCGGCCCGGCCCGGCATCCTTCCGCCGTCTGGTTGGGAAGACCTTGGCGCCGGCGGGTGGGTGGGCGGGCGGGTGGGTGGGCGGGCGGGCGGGTCGGCGGCGGAGACGCGGCCAGAGGAGGAGCTACCCGGCTGCGTTCGGGGGCGCGGTCCGAGAGGCGGCGGAGCGCTGAGGGAGAAGCCGGAAGGAGGGAGAGATGCTGGGGCTCCCCGGTGTGGTTCGGTAGGGACGGGATGTTGGGTCGAGGGCGGGTAGTGGCACCCCCAGTGTAGGGGGAAATCGCTTTCCAGGACCGGTTAGAGCTTTGCGCGCTTCGATCCTCCTCTTTTTCTCCTCCCCCGCCCCCCTTCCCGCCGCAACACTCCCTGGTCGTGACTCAGTTGCCCTGGGGACCCCCCCCCCCCCCCAGTGAGACTGCCCTTCGAAGGGACCCTGAGTAGGTGTAGGAAATGGAACTAGGTCCTCTGGCTCCTCTGAGCGAAGTGTCCTGTTCTTGCCTTTTTTGGTTAGGGAAACTGAGGCGGAGGTCTGGGATGTGACTCCGCGTATCCCGGACAGATCTGTAAGTGCCATTTGTCGTTTACCTGTGGTTCCTCCTTCCTAGGAATATAGATCTGTCACTGGAGACTTCGGAAGTAAAGGGACCATGCTATCTTTTGTCTAGTTTTGCTTTTCAAAGTCTGCATTGTTTTCACGAGAGTAGCAATGACAGTTTCTGTTGGTTAATAGAAAATTTTGTTTGCTGTCCAGTTTGCTTTTTTTTTTTCTTTTTTCAGTTATTTTATTTTGTTAATACTTATTTTTGCTTCCGCTCTGCCTGTTCCTCGGTGGAAGTCTTTCAGCTGTGGTGGTGAAGATTTTGAAGTCAGCTATTTGTCCTGAGATAGTTTGCTTTCTAGGAAGAATCCAAAGGAAACACCAGGATTCTTATTCAGACGGTTTTGACATTTTTGAGTAGTGGTTTAGTTACTGCATATACCAGAGTTATAAAAATTGTATGTAGGACTCATTCAAATATTGAGATATTTAAATTGAAAGTTAATATTCTGGGAACTCTTAAGTTTTCCTTTTGTCTCCCGACTTGGAAACTTTGGGGACTAAGTGTTCTTACTCATTTTATTTTCATTGGATTCAGTGTCACGATTCTAATTTGTGTGATTTCCTTGCTGAAAAAAAAAAAAATCAGTGGAGAGGTCATTCTAGGTTGAATAACTATTCCCATAGATGTAGAATCAGTAGGAGAATGGTTTTAAGGGACAACAGGCTAAATTCCTAATACTTGGATGGAAACTATACAAGTCTATGTCCCTTTATCCACATAGAATTCTCACATGTGTTTCGGAAAGATTTTTGTTCCTGTTATTTGTGTGTGTCTGTTTGGTGAGCTCAGCAAGATTTAAATGAAGGGCCCTTGACTATGAGTGATGTCCTAGTTACCAGGACTTCAGTGCTCCTAGAAAAGGGGTTAAGGAAGAGCCACCAGACAATGTTTATGGAGAATCTAGATTGGGAAGTTAGGCTTAGAATGTGTATTCTCTGAAAAAGTTTTTTTAAAAATATATTTTATTGATTTTTTACAGAAAGGAAGAAAGAGGGATAGAGAGCTAGAAACACTGATGAGAGAGAAACATCGATCAGCTGCCTTCTGCACACTCCCCACTGGGGATGTGCTTGCAACCACGGCGCTCGCCCCCGACCGGAACCGACCCTCCAGTCCGCAGATCGACACTCCATCCACTGAGCCAAACCGGCCAGGGCTCTAAAAAAGTTTTTATGGTGGAAGAGAATTGACATCAGAGGAAGAATTTAGAGAAGGGACACTGTTCCTTGGGGATTGATAGGCTCTGTGTCAAATTTAGAGTTAGTGTAGTAGCTCAAGGTCTCTTAATGTATATCCTATCTAATAATAGACAAACATGGTAATTGACTGTACCTTCGCTATGCCTCCCATTGGCTAATCAGCATGATATGCAAATTAACTGCCAGCAAAGATGGCGGCTAATTTGTATACTGCAGGCAGGGTGGGACAGCACCATCCTGCCTGCCCTGCCGCCATCCGGGCCTGCTATCTGCGACCCAGGGCGGCGGGCGGCCCGTGTGTGACCCGACCCGGGGTTGCTGGGCAGCGCAGCAGCGATCAGCCGGCCCTCCTGGGCAACCCGTGTGCGACCCGAACCTGGGCGGCCTGGCGGGGCAGCAGTAATCCACCAGCCCGCCCGGGCATCCCGTGTGGGACCCGACCCGGGGCAGCCGGGCGGGGCAGCAGCAATTGGCCAGCCCCCTGGATGTCCCGTGTGCGACCCGACCCAGGGCGGCGGGGCAGGACAGCATGGCTCCTCTGTCACCCCAGCTTCCTCATCTCAGCTCCCTTGGGAGCCTAAGCCTTTAGTCGGACATCCCCTGAGGGCTCCCTGGCTGCCAGAAAGATGTCTGCAAGCTTAGGCCTAATCCCCCGGGGCGTGGGCCTAAGTTGACAGGTGGACATCCCCCAAGCCTTGGGGTCCTTGACTGCAAATGGGCACAGCCTGGGCTGAGGGACCCCCACCCCCACCCCCAGTGCACAAATTTTTGTGCACTGGGCCTCTAGTTGAGTAATTGAGTAATAAATTTGCTATGAGTGTCACAAAGAAATGTTAGGAACATTTTGTTATTGTTTTTTAATATATTTGTATTGGTTTCAGAGAAGAAGGGAGAGGAGAAAGAGAAACATCAATGATGAGAGAGAATCATGGATCGGCTGCCTCCTGCACACTCCCTACTGGGGATTGAGCCCCCCAACCTGGGCATGTTCCCTGACTGGGAATTAAACTGTGACTTCCTGGTTTATAGGTCCACGCTCAACCACTGAGTCATACCGGCCGGGCATTTTGTTATGTTTTCATAGGAAGGAATTAGCAAAGGTTTAAGTTGAAGAGGACAAGAAATTTGGTTGTGGTAGGAAGGTTTCCAGGTTATAGCTTATCAGTTTCTCCCCTGCTTTATGATAGAAATTCATTCAATTTTTACTTTTCTTGGTGAAATTGTGTTTTGTTCTGTCAGTGTCAGATTACCCTCTCTTCTGGCATTTCCTTTTAGAAATTTACAGGCTTGGAATGTGATTATATTATTCTACCTTCTCTTTTAATAAGAAAGTTCTTGGGGATTTGTAAAGATGTGAACTTCTTTGAATGTCTTCTAGAACTTGCCCTGGAAGGAGTTATGTATATCACTTGAAGACAAGTGGTTATTTTTATAATTTAGCTTTGTACTGTATATTTTCAAAATATTTTCAACATGTGTTAGGAAACTTATGAAACATTTTTGATCATGCTCCTTTAAGCTACTTATACTGAATCCATACATTATGGTCTTCATGGATCTTCATGAATGTTTGCAGTTTATGTTGACAATTTATCTCACCCTTAAAGGAATTAGAGAAAAGCTTTTGTTAGCATACTTAGGTATTTATTTATTTATTTATTTATTTTTTCCTTTAATGGATATGAGGGAGAGAGAGAGAGAGGAAGAAACAAATATGGATGTAAGAGAGAAACATGGATCAGTTGCCTCCTGCATGTGCCCCCACTAGAGATCAAACCTGCAACCTGAGCATGTGTCCTGACCGGGAATCAAACCTGCCACCTCTCTGTCCATGGGACAATGCTCCAACAAAATGAACCACGCTGGCCAGGGCTTAGGTCTTTTTGTTGTTGTTGTTGTTAATCCTTACCTGAGGATATTTTCCCATTGATTTTTAGAGAGAATGGAAGGCAGAGGGAGAGACAGAGGGAAACATCAATGTGAGAGAGACACATCGATTGGCTGCCTCCTGCATGCACCCTGACCAGGGCCAGGGAACCTGCAACCAAGGTATGTGCCCTTGACCGGAATCGAACCTGGGACCCTTCAGTCCGCAGACCGCTGCTCTATCCACTGAGGGAAACCGGCTAGGGCAGGTCTTTTTTTTTTTTTTTTTTTTTAAAGATAAGCCTTGATAGAGTTATTTTGGAATGGGAAGCAAATCTTTTTACCCAGTGGTTTGGTTTACCAAAAAAAAAAAAAAAAAAAAGAGAGCAAAGAAACCCTTAAGTTCCTTTAATCATAGTCATTCTTGTTTCTTTCTCCAGTTGTTCCTCATAAACTCAAAGAGAACTTTCTGTTTCTTGTCATAATTTCTGTTTATACAGAAGTATTATGGTACAACCTGTTCAGTTGGAGGTGGTCTGTATTTATATTTTAAAGCCCCCTTTTCCACCAAGTTAATTAGATCTATTTTTTTCTTTTCCCAAAACTACAATTAGTTACTGGTAGATAAAAATTTTGTGACCAGTTTTTGTCAGAATGTATTCATGTGCCCAGTCTGTGGCAGAATGCCAAAGTGATGTGGTAAGAAAAAAACAAAAAAAAAAAACAGGTTAAGGAAACCAGGAGACCAGGGTTTAAGTCCTATGCTTATTAGCGGAGAAGTCTTCTACAGATTATTTAAGGAGGAAGGTTATAGGGAAGGTTACTGTCCTTTATTGAAAATTTACTATGTCATGTTCTTTACATGTCTTTAACCTCATTTAATACTCATAATAGTCCCTTAAGGTATATTTTATTTTCCCCATGGATACTGAGAGTAAATAATTTGACCAAGATCACACAGCAAGTGTATAGCACAGCTGGACTTCAAATCCAAGGTTTTGAAGGCTTTTATGAGTCTTTAAATACAGAATGGGAAAAATAATAGTTCCACCATAATACTTCTGTTGAAAAAGTACATGAAGCTGTTTGAAAAGATAAAGTGCTCTTCAAATGTTAACTTCTGTGCTATCTTATAGCAACAATGAACACATGTCAATTAGGTTCTTGGACAACTTGTTTCTTTCAAGGCAGCTTTAAGCTTGACAGTTAAGGAGGATAGAGGTGATAAACATTGAAGGAGCTTACTGATGTGGAAAGGAGTAAGTGCTTGGAAGTGCTAATGAAGGATGAGTTTTAGGTGCTG